TCAGTGGCCTCCGCCACCCCCAGCCTGGTGCCCCGGGCATGGGGGGCCCTTGTTGTCCGGGGGGCGGAGGCGCCGGGAGGCTCGGGAGGGCACGGGAGCCCCCGTGGGGAGAACCCGGGGGAGTATGGCGTTGGACCTCGCTGAGGAAAAGGAGGCCTCGGGAGGCGCCGCGAGAAGTGCGGGGGAGGGAAGTGAGGGTACGGCTGTCGATTCCTCCGCTTTGGTGCTGGGGCGGCGGGGGCCGTGGTGGGGCGCGATACGACCGGCGCCGTGGCGAAGACAAGAGGGTCCCGCCGGGGCGCCAGGTGCCTTGTCCGGCGAGGGGGGGGGAGCCGGGGCGGGCCGAGGGAGGGAGGGCGGTGGACAAGAGGAGAAGGAGAAGGGGGACTAAATGGGCCGGGTGCTGTTGCGGGGGTTGGAGGGGGACGGAACAGACGGAAATGATGGGAGGGGTGGGTTGCGTAGAAGCATTTTATTTTTTAGGAGTGAAGGAGACATTGATTATATTAGCCTGGCATCACAATAGATCTAGCTATAAAGGGTTGTGGGATTTTTACTCACATGCAATTCCTGGCCGCAAGATCTCTGTGGACAAACTTGCAGTCTGCCAGGTACTTCATTCCTTTCGTGATTTGGTGGCAAATTCCAAGAAAAGTTGTCCTAATTTTCGTTTCCTTGACATTAGAAATCACAATACATACATGGTTAAAAATGTATAATTAACATACTTGCATTAGATTTTCCTTCATAATATATCTGACATACTCCAAGACACTGCCTTTTGCCATAAATGGCATTATAATCAGGGGCATCTCTCCATCAAGACACACTCCAATAAGGGTCATCACGTTCTTGTGTTGAAATGATGCCATTTTACTCATCTCTTTTAACAGGTTCTCTTTCTCTCTCTCAGAAGACAGTGCTGGGCTGATATTAAACACAGACAAACAATGCATTCCATCCTCTCCTACCTTTGCTAGTCTTGATCGCAGCTAAGTTACCACCATCAACATATCCTTTAAACACCAATCCAAATTCTCCTTTGGTAATGGTAATTAGATATCCAATTACTGATGAACATTTTATATAGCAGCTGGAGATACCTTGCCCAATGGTGCTGGAAAGGTGAATTTGTGCTTTTGAAATAATCATGTTCTTATGCCGAAGCTGCCAATGCAATTGTTCCTTTAGCTCTACAGACAGTTTTTTATCTATGAAATAGAAATAATTTGGAATGCCCACAGCCATCATTTATGTTGCTATACCCAACAAATTCATTTTAGGAGGGGTGTAGCTTGAAGTACTAGAAAGGCCACGTTCTTTCTTAGAAGAGTTGACAGCTCTCCTCTTCAATGCTATTAGTACAATGATCATCGCAGTCAGCAGCGATATTATAACTGCTCCGACACTACTGCCTATGGTGACTGCTGATGTATCAGTGCTTGTTGATGAAGGTGAATTCACTGGTGGTGAAGATCCAATAAATATAAACTACAAGAATGATCCAAAAAACATACCTGGAGTAGGAATTTGCTTCAGACATCTGACAAAGGCCCGTGCACAACCAGTAGTGTCA